AACATTGCCAAGAATTTAGGAAAGTAGTACCTCCAGTCATCTCACTTTAAGTGACAGAAAAGCAGATCACTGAGCTGATCATTATTAAAGGCATGTGAGATGTCTACATTCAGGCATATCTAACTACCTGAAGGTTAACTGGTCCATTATCATTTTTTTTTAATATTGTCCTGTCCCACTTTAGGGTAAAACAATGTTTAACATTATAATTTAATATGATTGTTAGCATGTTTTTCTAACCCAGTGTATTTTCCCAGTACAGATAAACTAACGAAGGGCAAGATCCGGTACTTATATCTGTTAGGTGCACTGGAATTTAATGTAGGAATGCGATGCATTCTGGCCTGAACAAAAGAGGGTGGACTATAGGGCTAGAGACAGAAGTTACACATAAACCATTTGAAGTGATCAGAAACTGGTTTAAACCTGTAACAGGACATAAGCTCAGTGCACATAAACCATTTTCAAAATGGCTGAAACTGGTTTAAGATTAACCTGATTGAATGTAGTATCTGACTTAACTGATTTGGGTCAAACTGGTTTATGCAACTTCTGTCCAAGACCCCTTCCTGGTTTAAGTCAAACCAGAGTCCTCCCACATCCAAGTATGCTCTGCAGCCCTGGGCTGGGCTATGCTCTGTGCTCCAGAGAGCAGGGCTGGCCCCACCCCTCTGCTTTCTAGCCTGAGCAGGGGTAGGGGTATAGCCAGTCATGTCCAGGCGTGGCCCTGTTAAGACATAGTGAACAGGGAGGGAGTTAATTCTTCCCTCCTTCCTCTCCACTGCAGCCAGGGTCTGCCTATCTGCAGAGGTGGGGGCCTGGGCTGGTCGACCCCAGGTGTGGTCCCAGGGGGCAGAAGAGACGGAAGGAAGAATTAACCCCCTCCCTGCTCCCTTTGCCTTAAGGGAACTGTCCCCACTCCTCCCCACCTCCGTGGGGTGGGGAGAGGGCTCTGTATAGTGCTGCTTAGCCTGGCCTGGCCCAGCCTGGGCATGGGGAGCAGCTGTCACTGAGCTACAGGCCGCTCAGGAGGGCCCCATCCCCTGCTCAGCCCCGGCAGAGGCAGCCACATGTGCCCGGGCCTCCACCCAGTAACTGCAGCTCAGACAGGGAAGCTGAGCTCTGCCAGTGAGCACAGCCTGGCCCAGCGCACACAGGCAGCGGCTGGCTGGGCAGCGGGCTACCCAGGCCAGCTCAGAGGTGCCATGGGGTCTTGTGTGTTTGCAGCCAGCCCCCATGGCAGGTGGCTGCCAGGCTCCAGAAACTTGTTCTTGCGTTATTGAAAGAGCTGATAAGTGGCTATTATATTACACTTGTGTTTGGAAGAACAAAGACAAAGAAGAACCATATATAACCAAGTGCTTTGTTCTTAATCCTCTGTGTCTTTGCAGAGGGCAATTACTGGTCTCCACGGCAACTGGAGATGGACCCGATCTTTGCTCTGAGCCTGGGCTTAGGACCAAGGCTCAGGAAGCGCCTCGAATATTCTGCTTCCAAGTGGTTCACTCAACAATTTGTAACTGACTAAATGTTAATTTTAGCAATGGTTTTGAGGGTTTTTTCCACCACAGTTGCTAAGCAAGGGTGCTAATCAAGACAAACAGATATTTTGACTTCATGCTTTGGAGGACAGCTCTTTCTTCCACTTTCCCTTCAGAAATGGCAGACATGGGCAGCTGCCAGCTGGAGTGCAGAGAGGCTCCTTACTGAGACATATCAGCCCACATGGAAATCTGGCTTCCAGTGGACATATATGAGCCATGCTCCACACTGAGACTCTTTAGTATTCTACAAGGAAACCTGGTTCCCAAACAGATTATGACTGAGGTTTGTGGTAAGGCAATTGAAGAAGCCACATGGAATCTCCTTCAATGATACTAGGCCAACATTTGTTCCAAAAGCCAGCAGAACAACGTATTTTTCTCACACACCACACACCCTCAAATAAGACAGGCACCTTGTTTTGGGAAGGTAGAATGACAAAAGATGTTTCCAGAGCCATGGCCAGATGCTGATCACATGGAATAAGGGAAGAACCTACTCTTCAGTGCTACTCACTCTCCCCTGGTTGCTTAGGCAGAGCTAAAGCTCTAGCCCTCTTACAGCCACTGCTGAACTGGCAACAGCTTTTGCCTGAACTAACCAGGTCAACAACTGCTGCCACTTTGGCAACAGCTGTGAGACAGTTAAACCTCTGGCTCTAACATTGAAGATTGGACTCTGTCCCTGCTGCATGCTGATCAGGAGAGAGTCCCCAGCAATGATTCCAGCATCACCATGTTTTCATTCTGGTGCAGCACTTTTCATTGTGTATGTGGGTGGATGGATGGGTGACCTAGCAAAAATCAGTTCCGGCTGCCTGTGAATATCTTTCTCATATGTTAGGGTTGAATGTAAGCAACTTATTTTGTATCTACAGTAAAGCCCAGAATCAGAGACTTAAATTATCTACCCCTGACTGAACACTTGTTGGAGGTAATTTTAATAAAGGTAATTTTTAACAGAATTTTTGGTGGGAGCCAATACTGCTGTGACTAGAATTAACTACAGTGCCCATCCCAAAATTCCGCAAATACCAAAAGGCAGGGCCATCCACATTAGCTCCAGATACCCCATGTCCTCACTGGTTCCTTGGTAGCATAGTTACTACATTGCTATGGTACCAAAGATACTTCTTGCCTGTGGCCGCTAATGGCCCCCACTTCTATGTCATTTCCCACCCTGATAGCCCTCAGGGGGCGCATGTATACAAGATGCTGACTGCATAGTTATTACTGCGCAGTCATTTAGTACTTTTATAAACAAGTACTAAAAGGCTGCGCCGTAACCAGAGTTACTGCGTAATAGCATCACCAAACAGCTTTTAGGTGATGCTGACTGTGCAGTAGCATCGTGTCATGCTTCCTGCCACACAACGCTATTGCGCAGTAATAACGAGTCACTGTGCAGTCAGCATCTCGTGTAGACTCAGCCAGTGGGAAATATAATATACTCCCAGGCTACGTTACCTTTTCCAGCTGATCTCTATAGTATCAGTGTGTGGGTAGTGTGCCACTTCACAAAAAATTCTGCCCAGTCTGCACTCCTTGCCCCTGGCCCTCTTTGCCACGAATTCACAGAGCATTACATGTTGTTTGCAGATTCTAGAATGAGGGGGATATTAATGCAAAGGTATCCAAGCCTTACACCTCCTACATCTTCCATATGGAAGTTGGAGATTATGCATTGATCAGAGGGGCTAAATCTGGACAACATACTTAAAGGTGAAAAGATCTGTCAAATAAGGAACTCTATCACATTATAATAGATAGAATTGTTTTGCTGGGATTTTCTGTCATAAAAAATTAAACATGTAATTAGATAACATTAATTTAGTAAATTCAAGACTAGGAGTTTATCAATGTTCAAGTAAGCTGGTTCAATTCTGCCCCCAAATACATTTATTGCAGAGCTCCCATTTCCTTTAATACAAACTCTGCATGTGTATGCAACATGGTATTTTTCAGTCTGGAGGAAGGTTTTTGGGATGAAGAGGGCAGGTTGCTAGTGCGTGGAAAGTGAAGTCAAAGCGTAGAGTAAAAGTGGGGCAAGTTTTGTGATAATCCATTATGATTCTTCACTGTAAATGTCTATGGATAAAGTGATGGTTAGCATCTTGCACCCTACCTACTCTCCATATTCCTGCAGCAGCTTCAAATACATCCAAGCAAAAGAATAACTCTCCCAGAATGCTAGAGGCCCAGGAAGCAGATCACCAGGTCAAGCTTTTGTGCCCACTTTCATAACATGGAACTTGGCTAAAAGATTCTGTGTCCCAGCTCCACAGAAGTGCCAGTGAAAGGCTTCCACTCTGCACCACAAGTAGCATTCTAACAAGTAGGAAGTAGGGGAAACAACCATTACAGCAGAGCTAAAAACAATGAATCCAAGGAGGGGAGAAAAAAAGAGAGAATGTGCAGAAAGTAGGGGAGAGATGCAGTGACTGTACCTGAGCATGCAGGTAAGGAGCAGCCCTCCACAGTGCAAACAAAAGTGAGCATGCAGGAAAAAAAAACAGTACAAAAAGCTAGGAAGCATTTATTTAAGCCACAATTAGGAACATTTTGTTGTGTTTTTCCAAAATCCTTAAATGTATTTTTACTATAAAGTTGTTTGGGATAGCTAAATTAATGAAAGCTCAAAAACATACAGTGCAAGGATATAATGTCATCTAGGTACTCTGGTGAAATGATACACAGGGCACATCTACATGCTCATTAATGCGTCTTTGCTACTGCGCATTAAGTTTAGTACCTCTAATATGAGTTACTAAATAAAGGCTAAGTAGCTGTGCAAATACACAGTAGCAAAGGTGGAGGTTTTTTTGTTACGCTTAATACGCAGTAGACTAATTCTACTGCACATTAATGCATTAGCCCAGAGTTTGCCGTGACACACTAATGTGCAGTAGAACAGTCTACTGCACATTAAGGCATCTCTTGTAGATGTGCCCAGAGACCAGAACTCAAGTGATTTATTACCAGAAGTTCAAGAAAAAATCGTGCATTACACTTTTTCATGATCATTGCCTTTCTGTGAGAGGAGGTATAATGTTTATATGAAAAATGTTACATTTCATGTCACAAGAAGTATTTAAACAATATAATGATGGTGATATAACTATATGATGTCATAGTATAAAAATACACGTTACTTGTTGTTTTCTTTATAATTGTTTTCAGAATGAGAAACATGCTGTTTGTAAACTAGTTTCTTTGATAGTTACGTGCTAGTCATGGCAAAAAAATGGAATTTGTAGAAAAGCTCTTCTTATATCAGAGGCTGAGACCAAATGAGCTTTGAATCACAGTGTATGTGGGGAATCAGACAGCATTCTGATTACTGTGTCTTCATGAGCTTTTTGAAAAATAGACCTAATTTATAGTACATTCCTTTTGTTAATGTGTTAGAAGCACTACAGGCTTATTAGTTATAATTATCTTTTTTCTGTTTTGTTACAGGATCAGATATCTTCTGAAGATGGTGATACTGATTATGATGAAGCAGAAGAAGAAGAACCAGATGAAGAGAAGGAAGACAAAGAGGAGGAGGAGGATATTGATAGGCAAGTGGGTGCAGAAGAGGTGCATCACAATGGAACTCCTGAAGAAGACAAAAGCAATAACACCACAGAAATCCTACAGGTACAGTATTTACCCCTTCTAACATGTTGTACCGTATAGGAATTTAGCCATATAATTCCAGTGAACATGCCTGCAGCTGTTTTTAATCCTGTTTCATCTTTTCCTAATGAAGTAATATCAATCTTAATACTCTAGTTATTCAGAAATTATACTAATGTAGTTGTCTGTTAGTATATAACTACTTAGAATTTTAAATGCTATCGTTAAACATTCTGTTTTTAAATGGCTTGAAAGTACTACGTTACATATTTCATTATTTTATTTTTACAGGAAGAACAAAGCACTCAGGAAGAGAACATAATTCAGCAAGGTACAAATTTAGAATTTGGCCATTATAGATGTTTTGAACTCAACCACATTTTACCTAGTGACACTTTTTTATGAACCTAGTTACATAAATGCTAAATGACACTGACATTGTGTAAGACACACAAAGCAATGTTCTATAGCTGACAGAATTTTTGAGTTACCAATTTTGATCTCCAAAAAAACTATTCCCTTCCAAAATATTTTGGGGTGAGTAGTTGGGGAAGCCTATCATAGTGGTACACTCATAGAGATATTCTATACTGTTTTGTCTGTTTAAAACTACAGGAAACCCATATCAGAGTTATATGATGTATAGGAGCCCTTATATATCACAACTCTAGATGACAGGACTACAGGTAGGAAAATGAGGCAGCAAGCCCTTTACACCAAAGAGTAATAACCATAGATACTGACTGCTACCATGTGCATCCTTGTTACATCTTGTAGGGCGTCTGTGCATACAGAGAGCTGTCCTATCCCCATCCCATTCAGTGGGGTATAGTACTGAGGACAGGGAGTAGCAGAGAAAGTTATCCCTCTGGTTTCTTCAGACATCCTGTTAGTAATTAGTACGCATGACACTGATGGAAAATGCTTAGAAACAAAATATGAATTGAAATGTGTCTGGTCATGACATAGGTGCTGACTTTACTTTTTGCCAGAGGGACCTAAGATGATGGGCATGTGGAAAGTTTTATACATTTCAGGTAATAGCCCTCTTCCCTAGGGAGGCCAGGGCTCTCAGTATTCAACACCCATGGGTCATGAAAACTATTGGATTGACTTCACTGTCTTCATTACAGCACTAAAGACAACAAGTATCTGTCAATCAAAGATAAATTAATGTTTTTAAATACTTACAAAGGCTATGGGTAAATTTTCAAAAGCACCTATATGAGTAAAGAGTCTAAGTCCCACTTGCATTTGTGACTTAGGCACTGAAAGATCTATATCTGAGAATTAGGCCCCAAGGCCCCGTCTTAAAATTGGATGGGTAGGCTCCTAAATCACTCAGGGTAACAGAGAACACCTGTATCAGTAATTTAACAGAGGGTGGGTGAGCAAGGCACTAGCCTTGGGTGCTGATTTAGTGGAGGAGCATGCTCTACAGCAGCAGGTGCAGCCAGGGTCTTTGAATCTTCAAGGCCAGGGTAAGATTCACTTATCACATGGCCACCCTTTCCCCTAGTATCAACACACAGGGCTCCAAAGTAGCTAGTTATACTTCTGACTCATATAACTTGCATTCACACTCAGAAGAGAGCATCTCCTTAGCTTCCTTATCTCATCATAAGTTTCAGTTACTCCACTCCTATTTTCTGTGCCTCCTTGGGGATAGTGATGAAATAACAACTGAGCCCACCAAGTTTAAATTAAGAATAGGAAGAAAGACAGATAAATTACTGAAGCCAAATGTATCAGTTGTGCAATGTCTTGGGCCATTTTCAGGAGACTGATTGCAGAGAATACAGATTTGGCACTGTAGTTTTGCTGAATTGTTATAATGCTCAGCTGGAGAAATGCAGCAGAGGAGAGGCTACAGCTCCAGTCCTCCTTTTGCCAATCACTGAGTTTCTGGGAAATTCCACCTCCTCTATGTACAAGAACAGTAGAATCCAGGAATTTAATCTCCCAGGCTCAAAATATCTTTTTCCTTCACCACAAGGGAAGGGAAGGGAAGAAATAAAATGTCAAACAGGTCAACATACCCAGTGTTGAGGGCTCCTTATATCTTGCTAGCTTAGCTACATGCCTTGAATCATAATTTCCTCTTTCAGCTGGTCCCCAAGGTCCAGGACACACTTCTCATAATCATCGGTTTGGGGGTGTTCCTCAACTTCCTGGTGTTGCTGAATGAATTAACTTATATTTATGCAAATTTAGTTCTAAGGGTGAATTGTTAGCCCAACTTAAGTCAGTGGCAAAACTTCCTCCCTTTGGGTTCTTCTTAAGAAATGGGCAAATAAAGCTGCAGAACCCTGTAGCTCTTGTCCTGCATCTTGTACAGACCACTAGCCCCTTTATTTTCTCCTAGCATTGCTTGGTAATTTGCACAGTGGCCAGTTTAGCAACACATGATTTCCAGCCCGCTATCTATTAAGTAGGAAGCCATTTCTGCCCCACCAATACTGAATTTATTTTAGATGAAATCCATATCCTGCATTGATCTGACAGAACAAAGATTGATAATGAAAGACAATTCTTGTACTAAGAGTCAGACTCCTTCAGTTAAGGCACGTTTCCTAAATTTGAGAACAACACACGCTGTCTTCTGTTAACCATAAGAAATCATGGGTGTCTTAGTCAAAATAATTTACCTGAGTGCCAGCACCAACAGTATTTATTCTATTCTTGAAAATCAAGCATCCGGAGTAAAACTGGAAATCATAAATAGAAATGAGCAAAACAAAAACAGAAGCATCAGAATTTGGCTAAGCATGAAATTGAACTGAACATTCTGTCCTTCTGTTGTATTTTAGATCTAGAATTAATTTGTGTGTGTATTTAAAAATAATTTAAAGAACTGTTCTTTCTGCACCAAAGAGGAATTTTTTTTAATGCTTTATGTTATTTTAGATAAAAAAAGCACGAATACCCATACTATGAGCAATTCTTCAGGGACTATTTCAGAGAGTAGTGAAGACAGAATATCTGGAGGAATACTGGGGAGGTCCAAAAAGGTAAGCTACTTGAATTTTGATTAGGTTTAATTTGAAAACTTAAAAAAGGTGATGAAATTCTTGTAGCAAAAGAAAAGTATCGCCAAATCATATACATCTTTATAAATGCCTGAAAAGTGATGAGCAAACTGTTGGTGTTGCTTAAAAATAGATTTTTGAGATCCTTGCTTATGTGTTGGCTGCTTGTGCACAGCTCTTGGAATTGTACAGGGCCTTTCATCTGTTGAATAGTTGCTTCTTTTAGGAGTGAGTCCCTTAATGCCATTTTGTAGATGGACAAAAGGAGAGGGAGAAGAGAAAAAAATCATGGGAAAGTATCCTGAACTGTTGCCACATAATGAAACTATGGCAAGATGATAGCCATAGTAAATGTCCAGATCTGATATGAAGGGAACCAGTTACGGCATAAGATACAATTTTATTGTGAGTAAGGTTATTGGGATCTTGCCCTCTGTAATACCCACATGATCAAAAGTAATGGATGGTCTCTGTGGGTTAGCCCTGTGATAACATTATAGGTAGTACCAACTTTTCACAATGACAGAATTTGAATTAGGAGTAGCCATTACTAGGAAGGTGACAGGGATGTCCCTCAGGTGTCCTGTACATCCCTCTTGCTTGGCTATTTGTACTGTCATGTCCTGCTTTCATGCCATGCTTTCAGTACATCTTACAGTGAGGTAGCAGTTTATGCGGCTTTTTATGTCAGATCTCCCCTCTCTTTGGTTGCTTCCTATGGAGACTATAGTTCTAGCAGAGCAAGGAGTAGAGTGGAAGAGAACCTGAACAGAGAGAGAGTGGAGCAGATGGCATGTGAACAGCCTTAGGGGTGGAGGTGGGGGTCAGTGTAAAAGGCCTTGATGACCCTGAAGAGGGAAGGAACAGGGAGAGTAAAAAAATCTTAGAGGTGAGGAAAGAAAGACGAGATGCTTTAGACGAAGGAGAGAAAACACCATCTCCCATTTTCAATAAGGTATGAGGAAAAATAGCCAAACTATTTGTTGTACAGAACCTTTTACTGTGCACATCTCCAGGTGAAATGCTGAAACCTTCCAGCCCCTAACAACTATGAAACTACTGAATTCAAATAATAGCTAAACTCCTACTGATTACAGCAGACAGGATTTTACCAGTGTAATCACAGTGTGGCAGGGCACTGTGCCTGCCACTTTAAGGGCCTGAACCTAGCAGCTGGCGGGTGCCTGATTAGGGCAGTCATTTTAGAGTTAGGGCTGCCTATATAAGCAGGGCATTTTGCTGCTGGAAGGCCAGGCAACAACATCACCTGGCTGCAAGGCTGCTGGTATCAACTGGAGGTAAAGGCAGGAGCTGTTGGGGATTGATAGGAGGCTCCTGGTCCTGGGCATGGCCTAAAACTGCACCCTGCCAGGAGTGGGTGGCCTGGTGGGGCTCTCAGTGGTTCGGGAGCCCCTAGGAAATGCCAGGCCAGTTACCACCCCGGTGAAAGGCAGGTCGGGGTGCCTTAACCCCAGCTCCCACCCTCGGGTGGGTCAGGTGACACCAGAGGTAGTGGGGCCAGGCACAACTGCAGCCACCTGAGCCCTATGGGGTGCAAGACCCCAAGGAGGGAGAATGGGGGCCAGGCACGGCTACGTTCACTTGAGCCCACTGGAGAGTGAAGGGGGTGGTATGGAGCCCCAAGTGAAGGGGCGGACATAGGGAGCCCCAGTGAAGGGGGAGAAGAACCAGAGGGCCGAGGACCCGGTACATTTATATACACATAGTGTTGCCCTGGAAGGGGCCAGAGTACGCTTAGACCTAGTCGGGTAATTGACTGGCCACTAGCCCGGTGAGGGTCACGGGAGAGGCCCAACAGATGGTACATCTGCCACCCACGGAATGGACTAGCTAAGCCTAAGAGGGCCCACTCCAAGAGGGAGCAAGGCAGCATAAGTTAGTGATGCATGAAAGAGACCCTGTGAGAGAGGGTGGAGTGTGTGAGGCCCGAGTGGGAGGCGGGCAGTGTGAATGTGCGGGTGACTGAGGCCTGACAGCGCAGCCTAAGCTTGCTCTGGTGGTAGGCCAGGAGCACTGTAGCATCCAAATGCCATCTGCCACAGATAGCGCCCCCTGGCATCGGGGCATAAAATGGGCAGCCTCCTGCTTAAGATCATAAATTAATTAATTCATAACAAGGCGTGGCAGGCGAGTCGGGTGGGGGGTGTGCCCAAAGGCAAGTGGGGAACCTAGCACTGTGGCTAGGTGTGGAGCCCCACTTTGCCATACAGGTACCATTTCTCCAAAAACCTCCGTCAAAGCAGGAAAGAGTAGAACAGGGCTATCCAACTTTAGAGTAGCCAGGGACCCAGATCCCCGAACTCCATCCAGTTGCAGGTTCCCTAGGCCCCACAGGCCACCCTGCCCTGCCCTGCCCTGCCCCTGGGGGTAGGGTTAGGAAGCAGAAATCAGAGGATGGAGGGGAAACCTGAGGACCCTAGAACAGCAGCAGTAGAGTGGTAGGGAGAATGGTACCCAGACAAGAGCTTGTCCACAAGTTGGACAGCCCTGGACTAGAAAAACAAAACAATTTGCATGATATTTTAACCCAGAAATCACACCATGAATCTAGGTAGAAGACAGCAATCTATTAAAACATTACCTTAATACATATTCATAACCTGCTAACAAACCACAAGATCTCCACCCCTCAACGTGTTTGACTTTCTGCATATGCATCAGATACTCTGTGGAGAAAGTGCTGTGAAACTGAAAATATATGTGTAAACAGAATTTCATAATATAGGGAACATGAATATGAATACATTAAAAGCTCAAACACAGCAAGGAACACAAAAACATGCATTATGATCAAGGCATAATATAAGTATTTTAATTATAGCATATGTTTTTACAGTAAAAACAAACATAGCTTTTTGTGAAAATTAAAGGTTAAGTAAAGATTTTATGACTAGATTCTCCTCATTGGAGGAGAGCATAAAAATAATTATAGGGTCCATATATTTTCCTTTAAAAAAAGGGTATGTTGCTATCATAAAGTTTATAATAGGCTGTTGCACATAGTCATGGTATTGGAATAAAAGAATAATAAAAGTGGAATAGAACACAATTGAAAGGTGACTGTTACTTACTTTAAAAAATAAGCAGTCTTTACTCCACCTCCATATTTTTAAATAACTCTATTATTTTGCCAAAATATTTTATGCAGTTCCCAAAGGTAATTGTGAATTTTGAACCTTTGGCATTGACAAATCCTGGCAAAAACAAAAAGGAAGTAGCATTATTTTATTTGTTTTTAAAAATGCTGTTGAAACAAGTACGGGATGTCCTGCTTGTATAACTGACAACTAATTGATTCCAGAATTTACCTGGAATTTTTAGATTAAATGTATTTTTTTAATGCAAATTATGAGGCAGCTCCTGCAAACTGTTACTCACATGTTTATTTTTACTGACTTGAATTAAATAACATTTCGCATAATTACCGTTAATATTGGGAAAGATCAGCAGGATCTAGCACAGGGGGTTATCCAACTGCTGTTAAAGTGAATAGGAGTCTTTTTGTTGACCACCATGGACATTAGTTCAAGGCTATGTTTCTTATTTGTCCTAAAGATTAAAGTAATTAACCACTCTAGTTTTCTAGAGACAAAAACATAAGGAGTGGATACCTAGGAATGACTTCCTCCATTGGCTTTTTTCACATATTATTCACTAAGATCAGCAACTGAAATGTTTGTGTTTTCAACTATTAAGGGGTCAAGTCCTGCCAGGATCACTATGCCAGTGGCCAACTTCAGCCCTCATTGATTTAAGTGGGAGTTTGTCTGGGTGCAGCGGGCATACCTTGCATGGAGCACCTGGGGTCTTCACCAGTAGTCTGGAATACAAAGGCTCAGTCATGCAAGTTTCTGACTACAATGTTCTCAGTCCATCAAAGCAAAACAACTTTCAGTCCCACTGACTTCAGCCAGGGAGCATTACTTCAACAGAACTACAAAAACATGTGAAATTTAAAGTTAAGTATGTGCCTAAGACCCCTGACACATATTACATTTATGACATGATTAACAGGATAATCATGCCATAAGTTGAAACCCGGCCACATATTCAAGTCAATTTAAGGCATGACAATACAGTAAATGAGTCATACATTTATTCCACATATAATGTGGAGGGAGCCCTTCAGGAAGAGAGGACTCCTGGGAAGGGACGGCATACACCTCACGAAGAAAGGTAAGTCACTGTTTGCGGCCAGGATGGCCAATCTTCTGGACAGGGCTTTAAACTAAGATTGCTGGGGGAAGGGGATACACAAATTTAAATGTGTCCAGGGACCAACGTACAAGTAAGCCCTGTAGATAGGGACACTGGGAGAGCCACTTTTGTGGCTGCTGAGGGAATAGTTCTCCATCAGCGGGACAGGAAGACGAGGGCCTCAGTAAGAGGACTCAGGTGCCTATATACTAATGCCAGGATCATGGGGAACAAGCAGGAGGAGCTAGCTGTCCTACTCTTCAGTGTGCATTATGATCTAGTAGGGATTATGGAGACCTGGTGGGACTTGTCTCACAGGTGGAGTGTAGCTATAGAGGGCTACACCCTGCATAGAAGGGACCGGGTGGGAAACAACAGTGGAGGCATTGCTTTCTATGTGAAAGAGCTGTACACCTCCTTGGAGGCTGACATTGCTCTGAAATTGGATAGCTTGAAACCCTCTGGGGTAAGTTGCAGGGGGGGCATGGCGAGAGAGACCTAACTGTAGGTGCATACTACAGACCATCAAACCAGGGGGAGGAACTCGATCTGGAGTTCACCTGAGAATTGACTGAGGCCACACGTGGTCATCATGGGTGATTTTAATTATCCAGACATCTCCTGGGAGGAACACTCAGCCAAGTTGGATCAGTCGCGATCCTTCCTGACTCTGGAGGTGCATGTGCCAACCAGAAGTGATGCTCTGCTATACTTGGTCCTGGCCAAAGGAGAAGACCTGGTGACTGACTTAAATATAGAGGGAAGTCTTGGCAACAGCGACCATGAAACCATCATGTTCACTGTCCAACATAAGGCAGACAAATCTGATAGCAGGATTGAAGTTTTGGACTTCAAAAATGCAAATTTCAACAAGCTTAAGTCACTAGTAGGGGAACTGCTGCAGGACCAGGGACCAAAGGTGAAAGGTGTACATGAAGAATGGTTGTTCCTTAAGGACATGATCCTTGAAGCACAATGGAAGTCTATTCCCATGCAGAGATAAGGTAACAGAGAGGCTGGGAAGCCCTCTTGGCTAAACAGGGAAATCACAGTCCTCTTAACAAAGAAGAAAGGCTTATAAACAATGGAAGCTTAGGGCAGTCCCCAAGGAGGACTATTCCACACTGGCCTGCATTTGCAGGGAACAGATAAGAAAGGCTGAAGCGGTGACCGAACTTAGATTAGCAAAAGGAATCAAGGACAGCAAGTTCTTTAGGTACATAGGGAACAGGAGGAAAACAAATGGGAGTGTGGGGCCATTGCTCAACAACTCAGGACAGCGGCTTACCAGTACCCAGGAGAAAGCTGAACTCCTGAATGACTACTTTGCCCTCGTCTTTCACTGGACCAAGGGGAAAACCATGCCAGGCAGAGTAGAGGATGAGCACAGTAGAAATAATCACCTTCCTACTATTGCTGTAGAATTGATGTATGACCAGTTTAAAAAGATTAGATGTATATAGATCAGCGGGACTGGATGATCTTCATCTGATAGTGCTGAAGGAGCAGCCAAAGTCATTGCTGAACTCCCGGAGAAACTTTTCCACAACTCGTGGCACTCTGGAGATGCCCCTGAGGACTGGAAGAGGGTCAATGTTGTGCCCATCCACAAAAAAGGCAGAAGGGAGGACCCGGGTAACTATAGGCCAGTCACCCTAACTCCCATCCTAGGGAAAATCCTAGAACAGTTCATCAAGGAATCTATGTGTGATAAGCTTGCAGAAGGTAGGATTCTGAATGACAGCCAGCATGGCTTCGTTGCGGACAGGTGTTGCATTACCAACCTCATCTCCTTCTGTGACCAGGTAACTTGCCACCTGGACACGAAAGAGCAGGTTCACATTGTATACCTAGACTTCCAAAAGGCCTTGGATCTAGTTTCCCACAATGACCTCACGAGAAAATTGGAGGATTGTGGGCTTAACTCCTAGATAGTCATATAGGTGAGGAACTGACAGAACCCAGAGAGTCATAGCAAACGGATCTGTGTCATCCTGGCAAGAAGTGGGCAGTGGTGTCCCACAGGGGTTGGTGCTTGGTCCAGTACTTTTCAACTTCTTTATTAACAATTTGGATGTGGGGATGAAGAGCTCACTGGCCAAGTTCATGGATGGCACCAAGGTATGGGGGAGGGTGGTCACACTTGAAGATAGGCAACAGATACAGGCGGACCTAGATAGCCTAGCAAGTTGGGCGGATTGGAATCTGATGAAGTTCAACGTCAAGAAATGTAAAGTGCTCCACCTTGGGATGAGCAACCCCCAACACACCTACAAGCTTGGTGGCACCAAACTGACAAGCACCACCAACGAACGGGACCTGGGAGTAATAATAGACCACAATATGAATATGAGCCAGCAGTGCAATGCTGTAGCCATTATGGAAAATAATATTCTGGCTTGCATCAATCGATGCATCTCCAGCAAAACCAAGGAGGTGATTCTTCTGCTCTACTCAGCACTGATGAGACTGCAGCTGGAGTACTGCGTCCAGTTCTGGGCACCGCACTTTAACAAGCATACAAGCTTGAGAGAGTCCAAAGAAGAGCCACCTGTATGATCAGTCTTACACAGCAAGCCATATGAGGAAAGGCTGAGGGATCTGGGACTCTTCAGCCTGAGGAAAAGAAGGCTGAGAGGGGACCTGGTAGCAGCTTACTGCTAAACTAGGGGAGTACATCAAGGGCTTGGTGTCAACTGTTCACCAGGGTGCCCAAGGGGAAAACCAGGAGTAATGGCCACAAAATCCTGGAAGATCTATTCAGGCTCAACATCAGGAAAAAATTCTTCACAATCAGGGTGTCCAGACTGTGGAATGAGCTCCTTCCAGTGGTGGTACAATCACCTACCCTGGAAACCTTCAAGAGGAGACTGGATGGGCACCTTGCTGAAGTCACCTGACCCCCAGTTATTTTGCCTGCTTGGTGCAGGGGGGCTGGACCCAATGGTCTTCTGAGGTCCCTTCCAGCCTTACAATCTGTGAATCTATGACTCCATGAATGTGTAACAACTTAGTGGCTCATTTTAAATGTGCCTTACATTGAACATGTGGCTGTTTGGGGTGGGCCAATGATATATCCTGATTCTCAGCTGTGTGTCAGGATCCAGCACAGGGCAGCCCCAGGGCCCAGGACACAGGTGTTCCCTGTCCGATCAGGCTGGAGGCAGAACCCCAGACTGCTGCCCAGCCCCTCTCCCCCTCCCCCCCACCCAAAGATCGATGGCGGTCACGGTAAACTTGATATCAAGGAGCATCTCCTCAGTCTTTGGCCCACTGCACCCAGACCTTTAAAAACTGCCCAGTTGGATCCTAGTTTGGACCCTGGCCCCAACTGATAATCAGCTGATTGTGGGCATCTGGGTTTCAACTTGCTGCTGCAGAGGGAGCTTGGGATCATGATTCTGGGCTCCCCCTGCACTGGCAAGTATCCCAAAATGTGTTTGTTGGGATCAGGAATTAGATCCCACCACACCTTAAAATTAACATCTGTCAGTGTTTGGCAGATCCAGGGTGTTTGTTGGATACACTTCACTGATACTCTTACCAATCACTGAAACCGTATTGTATCAGAAATGTGTTGTTTTTTTCCTGTATGTATCATGTTTGTTTGCTTCTTGCAGCTTACTTGCATGGGCTCTGTAGACAAACTTATGTTACTGTTCAGTCCACTCATTTTCACTTTCTTCTTTCTTTGCAGAAATGCAATATTAGGATTGTGATCAGTTCAAAGAAATGCTTCCTTTAAATATGTTTAAAAACTCATAGAAATATTTATATTTACATTGTTTTAAAAATGTTTTTGTTTATATTTAATAAAACATAATTAGATATCCTAAAGTGGCCTGAATGTCACTTGTAACTTGTGTGCATATTTTCTTATAAATATTGAATTGCACTGGTAAAAGTTCAGGTGTAATATATCTTCTCTTGTTTTAGTTTTCTCTGTTTAAGCGAAGGTCATTGACAAGTCAGAAAAATAGACATAATAGTACAGAAGGTAGATCTGAAAAGCTACACCAGACTGAAGAGGAAAAAAGAAATGAAGATTTGCCTGATGAAGATAGCAAAGATGAAAACCAAAATCACACCAGGGAGAATCCTAAGGAAGATCAAACTAACCAGGATAGAAAGATAAAGTCTTCAACCTGTGTAATACTGTAATTATATACAGTAATCCCACAGTTTTAAGCACCTCTTGCAATTAATACTTGAAAATGATTATGACTTAAAGCTATTGATGATGTTTTTCTTTAAATTGAGTTTTTTTGCCTGGGACATGAAGACCATGGTCTTAGTATTTATTTTTATCAATAACTTTAGTAATTGCAACTGATAAACTTATTATAATTTTTCTGAAGTGTTGTGGCCTTAACTGTTCAGTGTTGTAATAAAAATATATTTTTTTATGTGAAAAGATGGATTTAGGCATTTGATAATTTTTGCTTAATAACTTTACCCAATGTTTGAGCTTACATGCTATCACGTGCAGTTTGATAATTGTGCAAAATTGTAAATATCTCAAATGATTTATTTGGTTTAGCAACATTGCTAAACCTAACATGTAAAAAGTGGTATGAACCTATAGAAAAATCTTTTTTTTTCAATTTTAACATATAGAAATTGCAATAAAACTACATGTATTTAAAGTCTAGTATATCCTGATCTAGCAAAGCACTTCAGCATGTGCATATGTGAATGGCTCCATTGTAATCAGTGAGTTTCTCACAGTAAGTTGGTGTCTGGCTTAAGTATCTTGCCAAGTAAGACTTTTTAAGCCCCATCTACACGTTACACTTAAGATGTGACTAACCAATGAATCGCGTCTTAAATTGTGACCCAGCCACATGTTCAATCAATTAATGGCATGATAAAAAAAAAAAGGAATAGACCACAAAGTTATTCCACAAAATATGTGTAATAATTTTGTGGTTCTCTCATATCACAGCATTAATTGAACATGTGGCCATGTGCATCCTGTCAACTGATGGGACTCCTAGCTGTGGATCTGCACCATGTGCTGCCATGTTTGCAAGCCCTGCAGTTGATGAAGCTTACAGCCGCAGCAGTGTCCCATGCACCACCATGGTGCAAGCCCCATCTGCTGTAAGACTCTCAGCCCTTGCAGCACATGGAATGCTCCTACAGCTGCAAGCCCTGTCAGCTGATGAGGAGCCGAGCCACACGAGCTTGCTACTTGCCAGCACAGTGGGAACCCGGAATCGTGAACATGATCCCAGGCTCCCCTGCATCAGCAGAAAGGTGTGATTGGATCTCATGCCGGACCACAATCACACCTCCTGCCATGCACGTGGTATGGCAGGGGATGTGATTTGGGAGATTGCGCATCAGATCCTATCACACCTTCATCTGAATGTCTAGAGGGCCCCTTAGGAACATGGGTCTGTTCAGGGAGATGCCCAGTGAAGGGCAAATGGAAATCAGTGGTTAGTATTGCCGTTTCACTTGGACCCTAATCGTGTACTCTTTTAGCAATTATTTTGTTGTGAGGTTTTAAGGGGAGTTATGTCCATGTAAGGTTTACAGGATCAGAGATCCTTAATTCTGATTATAGACAGAATATACATAATTAAGAAAACAAGACTTCATGCTATACTAAATAATCTGTGAAAAGAGATTCTACTAAGATAATCATACTTAAAAGAGCAGCTGATGACTCCTACATAAGCTTTGAATAACACTGTATAGTATTAAAGAATTTGGCTTATGTATAAGGTTTTGGGATATTTCTGTTCTTTTCTGTTTGATGAAGGTTGTCTGCAGGAAAGCAAGATCAATGTGAACAGTTTATCTGTTGCTTCTGCCTGTTTTTCTACCTGAAATGACAATCCTCTGTGAAATCAGAATTATTTGCTATGGAAAATATTGCAAACAGAGCTAAATCTCCCTTGATTTTCTCAGGCAAATAGTTTTACTGGCTATAATGGCACTAGTTCTGTAAGCGAGGAAAGCGGGATTTAACCCTCTTTTAGGCAGAGATTAAACAGGAGAAGCAAGTGAAAGCTTAGACCCACTTACACACCATCAACAGGATAAATAGAAAAGCTATTTTTTGTAATTATCCTTTGCATTTATTTACATTTCTTGTATTTAACACATTGCTCTGACCACCTATGTTCTTTCTTTTTAAAGGAGTATTCCTTAAAATTCATCCCTGGATGAATAAAGAATAGAAAACTGTTTATTAATAAATCTGAATACCTCATCCAACTTCATGACAAATGTGATCCAAAGGCTGTGTTTGTCCTTATTCAAAAAATCCTTAGTTATTTAAAAAAAATATACAAACTACAGCATGTAGCATAAAAATAAAAGTTATTGCTAAATTTAGTGTTTCCAAATATTTCACAAGATACTGGCTGATCTTTAAAAAAACAAAGTAGCAAAGTGTAATTTAATTTCACTGATTTTTAAATACTCTTAAATCTGTCTTTAGCCATACTGCACCTCTGATTTATCAATTTTTCCTAGTTTCAGGGCTGCTTAAGCTTTATATAACCCAGTTAGAAGTGACTAGAGTTGTTCTTGACCTAGAAGTTGATCCAACTGAACACTTTGTCCCTACAAACTTGGCAAAAACTCAAATACTTTCATGGGGCCTTCTCTGGGCTGCAGTAGGAAGTATTTTAAAAACCTAGATGCTATGTCATCCTTTGCTAGAATTAATTAAGATCCTATAATTTAGTTCTGTTATTTTTCCGCAGGCTGCTATGAATTTTACAGATAATCACTAAATGAGTTGGAGGGGGGGGTTATATACATTCTATTTACTCTTTTCTTCTTTTCCTCAGTGCATGTGTGATTTCTTCTCTGTTTGTATTTTAGTCTGAATAGGAGGAAACATCTTGGAAAAGGAATGATATATTAAATGGTAATTTGAAGTTAATGTTACATTTTTAAAGAGACTGCAAGCAACCAAAGAGGACTATTTCTTTTTGGAAAAGTGTGAGTTAATTTATTGCAGTATAACTTTTAAAAAGGTTGTTAGTCTGAAATTGGAGGCTTCCTTAAAGCTAGCAGCACATCTGAACATGCTTGGAAAACATTTTAGTGTGATCCAGTTATGCTTATGCAGCACATTTTGTCTATTTCTGTTTGTCCTTCATGGAGTACAGTTATATAATCAGGGTGTGTGAAGCCACAAAAGATTAGATGGCTGTAAAGAAGTGTACCTCTGATGACTTCAGTCTACATCTGGCTCATAGACTTAACTTAAGGAACTTTCAGACTTAAGGGTTTTTCTCTTCCCTTTAAAAAAAAAAGTGAACTGCTCCACTCCCCAGCCCTGATGCCATGTGCCTCCTTGTTCCCCGAGGCAATGCAGGAGAGCAGAGCAGTTCCCTGGAGCCAGCGGAGCCTGCACCAGCCCAAAGCCCCAGCCCCCATCCCTGTCCCTGTTCCTCGCCTCGCCTTGGGGAGGCTGTCTGCCTTGCATGAGGAGTGAGGAGCTTACCTTTGTCTGGTGGCCGAACCCTGCCTGCTCCCACCTGGACACTTACTTTGGGACACTTACCAGTGGACTGCACCACACCAAAAGGGGGAGGCAGGACCGAAGCAGCACACTCATGGACTGCTGCTCTTTAGAGGGAACATTGATAGCAACGTTGTCATATGGCAACATGTAGATGTGCCCTTCATTCTACTAATACTCAGTTGTTTTCAGTAGTTTTGCACATGTATCAGTTTCAGAAATATGTAGATCTTGCTACACACGTTTGCTAAACATTATTCTGTAGGTCAGGCTTCTAGAGCAGACACCTCCTTTAGAAAACTGTTGCTTCAGTTAGTCATTCAACTGAGACTCCAACATCCACCTTCTTTAACTTTATCAGTGTTTGAGTGTCCCTGTGAGAGGAAAGCATATAGCTTATTACATACAGAAGAAAGAAATTACATATCCTGCAATAACTGATGATCTTTGAGATGTAGTTTCTATGTGTATTCTAAATCCCACTATAGCAAAGTTTATGTATGGTCGGATTTTGGATAGTGAAGGAACCAAGGGAAAGCTGCCACCTTCCCCACCCCCACTCCCTAATTCATACCTTTGCAGGGGAGGGAGAATAATGACACATAGGAGAAGGCAAAGGCTTGATCACTGGTGCTAGGGTACATGAACATCCATGAGTATAAACAGGACATCATGAAGAACACTATTTACTATAAAGTATCATTTGGAGTCAGGCAAAAGTTCAGCTAGATACTATGTATTCATATATTTCTTGCTCACAGTTTGCATCATATGGTTTAATTCTGACTTACAACATTTTTAGGTTTCTAGCAGTGGAATTTCCTGAGCATACTCACTATTAATATGAAGTATGAAGTTAGAAATATATTTAAATTAGTTTTCAAGTTCTTGAGGCTAGGTGTTAATAGGCAGTCATTTTTCAGATAGCCTTTGTTCCAAAGCAGTGTGAAGAGCTTCATTCTAAGTGTATTGGAAATAAAGACTTGTAATCTTTCAAGCCTTTCTAAGGTCTGCTTATATGCCTTGGATGGAAACAACCAGTAAAACCCAATCAGGCAACTCCCTCCATATGTAAGTGAGAGACTAGTCCCTATTGTGAAATAGATTTTCAATCCCACTAAAAAAACCAACAAATCTCCTGAAATGTCACACACTACACCCAAGTGTATTTTTCCTGGAAGTTAACAGGCTATGATTTGGCAGATTTTTCACTGAGCTCTTTTCAATTTATTCTGTGAGGGAGAACTGTTTCTTTCATATTAAAGGTTATGTTGGAGATATTCTATCATTACTATTCTACCAAAATGTTAAATTACCAACGTTTAAAATCATCCTATAATACGTAGAAGAACATTGGCTATGTGTCTGGCAACAGCAGTCTGGTCACCTCTGTTCTTAAAAGAAGACAGTGGGTGCTTCTACACAAAACGCTTTAATTGATATCAGAGCAAATTACTGCACAGTAAGCATCACCATCTACACATGTAGACGCTTACTGCACAGTAATTTTCTCTAATCACAAGTAAATTTGCTACCTGTAAATACAAGTAGAAAATTTACTTGAGAGTAATTGCTGCATAGTACGGCACATGTAGACAGCCAACCAGGAGCAAATTTGCTCCTGGTCACCAGGGCAGCAGGAGGTTGGAGATTACTCCCTGCCCCCAGTAGCTGCCAGCTGCTGGGATGGACAATGTCCCTCTGCCCGTGTCCCTCACCAGGAGACAGCTCTGTACTCCCTGCCAGCCCCTGGGTTAGCACCCAGAGGGAACCTAGAGCTCCACCTAGCAGCCACAGGGCCAGTGCAGGGCCAGCGGGGGTGGGAGTAGACTGCTGCCATGAGCAGCAAATCTGCTCCCACTTCCCCGCACATGTAGAGGCCTACCCAGGGTGGGTTTATTCGAGAGTTATTTACTTTAGAGTAA